TCTGCAGATTCGGGGTCATGCTTCCCAACATGAGACAGGAGATCTCGATGTCGTCAGTCTGATGCTTCAACCAAGCATCCTTGACGGCTCTCGTGGCATTTTTTTTGATTTTTTATTTTTAAAATCATATTGATAAATCAAAAAATGAATAATTTTAAACTCCAAGAGAGATAATGAGTTAAATAACTTCTGTATTTATATTTTTTTTCGTGGGTATTATATAGAAACAAAAGTTGAAAAGTGAATGTAATACCCCGATTCCCGAATGAAATATTTAAATTACTTTCGGGAATAAAGGAAAGGTAGAACAAGCCTAAAACCATAGAGAACCAATGTGAGTTGCCTCTTTGTACTCCTGTTCTCATCGTCCGACCCTAATATCTCAACTGTTCGTTGCTTGGGTTTGAAAGAAGGTGTTCCAATGAAGATCCAGCAACAAACGGCACTCGATTTGGTTGAGAAACGAGGAAGATATGAACGAATGAAAATTGGAAGAAACTGAAATCGCAAATCGCGAATTTGTATGAGGTACAGATGTTGCGAATCAATTTGCATCGTGTGAATACGGGGTTTCAATAATCTATCACTTGTATATGAAAGAGGACATCCCAATGAAGATTTAAAAACAAACGGTGCGCAATTTGGTTAAGAAACGAGTGAGAACGGAGCAATCGAAAACGGAGTATGCAAGTCAATCCGAACAGCGCCGAAATGCAGTCCGGACGGACCAGAAATGCAGACCGGACGGACCGTGCAGGGCAGACCGGACGGACCGTCAAGGCAGGCCGGACGGACTGTCAAGGCAGACCGGACGGACTACGCAGTCCAGCCCGACAGAACATAGTGCGATCCAGCGCGAGATGCAGATTTCCACTACACATTGCTCCGCGTGTGGGCCACCAAATGGCGCGTCGTGACCACCGCTGGATTCTTCTCGATGCAGGCTTCGTCATGGACTTGGGCTTGAGCCCATTTTCATCCTCTCTCTTGGTCGAAAACCCTAGAGAAGAGAGACATCAGCCACTTCTCTGCAGAAGAGAGCAGAAGAGAGAGAGGGAGAAAAGAGAGAGAGACGAAGAGAAAGAGAGGGAGAGAAGAGGAAGGGACCTCTGGGAAGCAAAGAGGGACAGCCTTAGAAGGTCCAGAAGGATCGCCGGTGTTGGAATCGCCGGAAAACGCCACAAACTCCGGCCAAAAATCAGATCTGAATCTGATCCAAGGTGAGTGGCTTGAATTGCATCTGTGTGAGCTCGTTTTCATCGATGTGATTGTGTTATCTCGATGATTTTCTGCCTGGATTAGATAGAGGACATTTCAAAGAACATTTAGCAACAAACGGGACATAATTTGGTGGAGAAATGAATGAGATATGAATGATTGAAAACCGATAGAAACCTGAAAAACGCAGAAGCGCGAACCTGCCTGTATACCATCAATACGAACCGTTTTTCCACCATTTAACTGCGATGTTCCAATTATTGGTTGATTATAATTGAAAGAGGACATTTCAATAAACATTTAGCAACAAACGGGGCTCAATTCGGATAAGAAATGGGGGAGATATGATCAAACGAAGTCGGACCAGAAAACTGTTTCGCGAGAACGACCAGAACCGGAACGGACGGACTCTAAGGCCGGAACGGACGGTCTGGTGACCCAGAACGGACGTTCTAGCATCCCCAGACCGAATGCTCCACCGTTCCAGACCTCAAAACTTATCCCGAGAGGCCCCGGGACAACATCGGACCCCTGGACCGACCGGTCCACACCCTGGACCGACCGTTCTAGGGTACGAAACCTTTTTTCGGACGATTTTCGAATCCCGCGTGCGTGAGATGTGTGATTCAACTATGCGAGTGACTCGTTGCGTGATTATACGGGGTAGCATTGTATGGCATTGACCGGTAGGTCGGTAAGGGACCGAATACCGTGATATGTGTGATTGTAGCGGGGAATACGGATGCACGTTGTATGCCATGTTTGTAGCTTACTCATGTGGCCTACGACGGGGTCGTGGTGTAGCACGATGGAAGCATGTTTGTGATTGGGTTACCCCGATGAGCCTCGTATCTAGTACCGGTTGACGGCGTGGAGTCAGTACTAGTGCGATGGGGAGGAACACGTGTCCAGTGCCGGTTGACGAACTTGGAGTCAGCACTGGTGCGTGCGTGTGGTGTTTCTGTAATAGTACCGGTTGACGGCGTGGAGTCAGTACTATTACAGAAGCGTGTGCCCGTAATAGTACCGGTTGACGGCGTGGAGTCAGTACTATTACGGGAATGGGTGGATGTGGAACCAGTGCCGGTTGACGAACTTGAAGTCAGCATTGGTGTGTGTGTGGGTGTTTCTGTAATAGTACCTGTCGACGATTTGAGTCAGTACTATTGCAGAAACGTGTGGACATGGAGCCAGTACCGGTTGAGAATTGAGTCAGTACCCATAGTGGTACCGGTAGACGAATTGAGTCAGTACCACTATGCCGGTCAGTTAGACCAGTGAGTCACGCAGTCAGTACCGATCGACGACGTGGAGTCAGTACTG